CACCAATAAAGTTTTAATATGATGTTATAATTATGACAATCATGCCATGCATCACGCTAACTCAAATCACTCTGAATTTATCTGTATGCGTGTCGATCTCGATTATTTTTGTTATTCAATTAAACGCCGCTTTTAACGCACTTGCCCTCGTCGTGACCCGACGCGTTCACCTATTTCAACAAAATTTCCACGCGGCTGTCATTTATCTAGTAACTGTGATTTGTCGTTTTTTTAATTATTTTATAGTGATCACTATAGTCTAATGTTTAGAATGTCAAAATATGTTTTCTTTTATTTTAATTTTGAAAGTTTTACTCAGACGATCAATGAAATAAAACAGTGTAGTGACGTGCCTAGTAACCTGCTAAATAACGAGATAATTCCGGCGTCAAATTCTATTTTGTCCAGCGACAGTGTACAAACATGCGCCGCTGACGATCACGGTGACCAGCTACACCAGAACGGACATATTTCGCATCTAACTCAACCCCATGCAACAAAAATTGATACTATGTGTTCATTATGGTCCATCCCTCCTCGACGAACAAGTACATAAGTGAAAATTTAGTCAAAGACGAGAAAACTGCAGAAAAAATTTGCCTTATTTACACGTATCGGCAATGCAAGCTGCCATGCGACTTCCCCTTCTGACGTCACAAGGGGAATTTCTGTATGCAAATAAGAAGCTAATGAGAGCCTTGTTTTAAAATACACAAAAATAAAGTTGCCGTAGATTGAGTTTAAAACACATTTTTTCACTTAAAAAAATAATTCATGCTTAGAAACAAATTATTTTCTCAGAGTATGAACAACTCTGATTATATTTTAACTCAACTAACTTTACTTTTCAAAAATACTTATATATATAGTAGACGTGATTATTGGTGAGCTGTTGCTGTAAAGATTTTTGTTTTTATTTTGGCCAGCCCAAAAAATAAAATGTTGTTGAAGGTAATGTAATATAGAAACAGTAAAAAACAGTTTTTTTTGGTTAAAAAAAAGATTCTTTGCTTCTTGAATTTTATCAAAAATAAAATAACTTTCATTCTCCGCCCTTTATATTCACTCGAAAATTTACTGAGCAATTTTTCCTGGGGTCTGTCCTAATTTTTTTAGTCATCAAATTGACCTAAGATGGCTGAAATTGGTAGACCATGGAAGTGGCAATGAAGTTAAAAAAATAAAATAAGTAGTGTTTGGAGGAATATCAACCTTTTTTCTGAAAAGGAGACTCTTCTGTCTTGTTCAAAGTAGATAAAAATCTGCCTGAAAAAATGTTGTTTCCATTGATATGGAACAGTAGAATCCATAAGTAGCAGTGTAAGTGTTCTGAATAAGCTTGAGCATAATATGCAAATGAGTTTGTGATGTCATTTGTTCTGCATATTGATTAGATATTTAAATAAGTTACTGGCTGTTTGTGATGTCACAAGTTCTGCATATAATTAGAACAGTTCAGTGTGCAAATGGAATATGCAAATGACACTTGGTGTTTGTGACATCACAGAAGTTCCGCATATTTATTAGTTTGTGTTTGGAATCTTGTCTCCATGCAAACAAAGTGCATAACTTTCCTAATCTTGCATCAGGATGGATTATAACAGGATTGCTAAGTCAATGTAGGTTATTTTTGATATTTTTTTTTTTATCTCAAAGCTGTTTTTGCTTTTGGTTGTTGATTTTAGGAGTTCTGTATTTGTTCTAAGAAGTTTTTGGTTGGTTTGAAAACTTTGAATCAAATTTTCAGAAGTTCATGTCAATGTTTTTGTATGGTTGCTTTGCATTGTGTTTGTATTCTTGATTTTATGCTATGCAGCAATTCGCTTACATTTATGTAGTAAAAACTTGATTCATTTGCATATTCATATATTTATGAATATATTTACCTATTTCTTGGTGCCTCTAATAAATATTTCTTATGTTGTTAAAGCGAGGGAGTCGTCACCTGCGCATGCAACAGACGGCCATAGCATGTCGTTGTTTACAAACGTCTACCCATGAGCCTTTGCATTGTTAGCGTGCTTTGTTATCGTCGCTTGGGACGGTTTAATTACACGTATGACATGTTTCACATTATTTTCAAGTGTAGAATGATTTCTAGTAAACATCTATCATACTTATTTTTTACAATTTCAGTAAATAGTTTAACCAAACAAACAAGAGGAGTTAATAAATAAATATTTCCTTGTCTTCACAATTTTTATTAAAGTGTTACGATATTTTAATTTTGCCTTTAAAAACTTATTAAACTAGAGAAATAAATCAAAATAGATGCAGGCATATTTGCTAACTTGTTTTGTAATGTTAAAAACTACTGATAGTCAAAGGAAATATATATTTTAATGATTATCTATTGTGTTTAAATTTATATTGAATACAAGTATGACATATACATTTGTAGGTTTCTGGTCATCAGTTCTATATTTTTTTATATTATTCCAAAAAAAAAACAAATGAAAAAGTCCATTTTCATGAAATATAAAATCACTGTTTTTAAATTAAAATAAAAAGATGTTCACCAGCGTTGATCTTTAGAAAATAAATTTATTTGAAATTTGTTTCTAGTCCTTAACCATACCTTGCAATTATCTCATATTTGTTATTTTATTTTACCTTCAGTGAAAATATCAGCAGACTTCCTCCGGTGAGAATCGACCATAGTCGGTCCACTCACGGGATGGACTTCACTGATCGACTCGAAGGACCGCCAAGTAAGTTATATCACATACGAGTGTTATTATATGTTGTGAACATATCCAATATTTCATTTTCAAATTTCTGTGTACTTGAACTTGCAATTTATACATTTTTATATCACTGATTAATACTGGAAATCAAATATTTACGTGCAAATTGGTGATGACCATTTATCGGAGAATAGTTGGAGGAACATTTTAGTGATTGTAACAATACTTACTACAGACCAATTTCGCTGATTCTGTTCTAAACTTTTCGGATTTCGGCATTCCCAAGATGTATTCTTGGAAGGAAAAGATGTATAATAATAAGGTTATTCTGAGAATCCCTCAAAGTATGCACTCAGACAGTACGCTGCGCTTCGGTTGATGCTCCATCTATACTGTCTTTGTGCATACTTTGAGGTATCCTCGTAATAACCTCATATTACTTGAAACATGATATTAATAATAACTTATTTTATTTGCAGTGATACAGAACATGAGTTCAGGTCGTATGTCTCCCATCATGCCTCGTACCATGGGGGACTATCAGGAGGTAAGTAGTTTTCATTAATTTGTTAGATTAATGCTCTCAGATGTTAATACAAAATTAAAGTGTCTGATAGTAATTTTCGCCCCAAGGAAGCCATAGAATGCTCCATTTTAACTTAGAATTATCAAAAACTCCACACCTTCGTAGGGAGAACCCTATCTCCCCCACTTGGTGGCTCCACTGAATTGCAGCGTTCCCTCTTGCAGTTTTTTTTTTTTAGAAAAAAACCTGGAACCTATATTGAATACAATGTGGGTCAATGACTGTAATGACTATATTACCAAGCATTCTATACTACTGTACATTCATTTACAATTTACGAAATTTAACATTTCATATATTATAAATGCTGAAGTACTTGCACCATGTAAATTTGTCATAGAGAAGCCACAGTCATGTCACTTTTGTCGATTTCTTTATTTTCACCACGAAAAGAAAAGCCTGCTGCATTATCAAACCTGTAATGTGTAAAATATAAATAATGATTTTTTACTTGCAGCGTGTGGATAAGCTAAAGCGCGAAAACTTTGCACTCAAGATCCGAATATACTTCATGGAAGAAAAACTAGAGAAGGATAGAGATATCACAGATGAAGAACGTGGGGTAAGTTACTGCTTCATGTTCACATTCAGGAATTACTTTGTCCCTACCCAAGAATAATATTGAAAACGGCTTCTATACTCTCTGTTTACATGCTCAACAAATAATGTGGTATTGATTGTTACCACCTTGCATATACATTGTATGTATTACATAGTGTTGATGTGTGACAATAACAACATGCACTAAAAATGCAAAGACTCATGACACTTATTTGTAAACATCAACAACATGCTATGGCCTTAAACTATGAAATGTACAAAATATCAATAGAGTAACTACATGTACCATCATTTGAAAACATCATAAATCATTCGTAATTCACACATTGATTACTACTGCTACTTTCAAACAAGTGTTTAAAACAACATTAAATGGAAACCGTCCACGCCAAATATGTTTGAGTATGAAGTTTTGGATGTTTGATATTCCAAGAGTGGGGTTTCAATATAACATGTAACAACCACTCGTAAATACTTTTTCTTTCATCATCAAAGCATTCTTTTGGAAACAAACGAGTAAAAGCAAGACGTTCAGAAGCTAATGAGGTACAAAATCATTGAAAAGATAAATAGTTCCCTTATCTTGGGTGATCCCACTGGGTCAAGAGTTAACCCTTACCTTTTCATGTAACTGGATAGTTTTTTAGGGTGTTATGAGTGCTCTTGTCGACTGTCGTATTTGGTGAAAGAGAAAAGTAACAATAGATACTGTATTGGCACATCTTAAACAAATGGAAATAATCATTTATTGTATAGCAGACATTTAAATGCAACTTATTTTGACTATAGACACACCTGTCATTTTAAAGTTTATGTGCTACTAAAAGAGTCAATACAATTTTGTGTTTGTTTATTGCTAGACCATCTACACTGCGATACTGTGACCATAACACTTTCTAGTGTTCTCTCTAAGCAACAAGCTATCACTGAGCTAGTTGGTGATGTCACTGAGCTAGTTGGTGATGTCACTGAGCTAGTTGGTGATGTCACTGAGCTAGTTGGTGATGTCACTGAGCTAGTTGGTGATGTCACTGAGCTAGTTGGTGATGTCACTGAGCTAGTTGGTGATGTCACTGAGCTAGTTTGTGATGTCACTGAGCTAATTTGTGATGTCACTGAGCTAATTTGTGATGTCACTGAGCTAGTTGGTGATGTCACTGAGCTAGTTGGTGATGTCACTGAGCTAGTTGGTGATGTCACTAAGCTAGTTGGTGATGTCACTGAGCTAGTTGGTGATGTCACTGAGCAAATAAATAAAGCTTAGAAAGAACACCCCCAATATCTTCCCAACATGTCTGTTTTAATACAAGACTATTGCATGTTATATAGTCCATATAAATGTACCTCACTAACCCCTTGAAAAAAATCACTGTGGCAGAAATATTCAATATTCAAGTATGTTGATTTGAGTACTGTATATGTACCGGTAGTTGCATTATAACAACTGTTTTAGTTCTTTCTTGACTCTGGACACTAAGTACTGAAAATCATACCTCAATAAAACATGTGTCAGTGTTTGCTCAGCAATCAAATCACAAATGTTGATGAAGCTACTTGACCCTTGCTTTGGACAAATTGGGTTGACCTCATTCTTTTTTGATATGGGTCATTCCACAACAACAGACGTAAGTTTGAAAATAGTGCAACTACAAAATTCTAATCACAGTTAATAAAATAATGATTCTGAATTCATTTTTATTTTTCATCAATTTAACTGAAAAAGTTGTAAACAATATGTAGTGTTGCGATTGAACTTAGCCTCATTTGCATTGGCTATTTTATATTCTCTAACAGTGTGTTACAATAGAGTGAAAAGAGCAACAAATGCTCATTTGCATAATAAGGTAGCTCCCTGCCTCCGTACAATGAGGCATTATTATCCTTCCATCATTGTGTAGTGGGGACTGAACCATAGTTAGTGATTTCACATTTTGATGTTCCAATCTTTGGGTGAGTTGATTTCTATGTTTCTCATGCTGAATTAATGATAACTCTTTCTCACGAACAAATTATTTTTGATTTCTGATCTATGTTTTTAATGAATTTGATCACTTTTGGGAATAAGACTGTTCTACAAATCACTGTTTTTCTGTTATCAAAAATATACACAGATTTCAGATCTTAAAATCTACTGATAGTTCATTTCCATCCCTTAAAAGCCAAGCTAAATCTGTACAATATATGTTCATTAAATGTGTGTCCCTCGTGGCTGCATTGATTTCTGACGTCCCCAACACCTGTTACATGTCCAACCAACACTGTGTCACATCATGTCAGTTGTTTGAACAAAAATGACGACTGGAAGCAAACATATTAAAAATGTTTTTATTGATTCGATTGAGCGCTGGAATGTCATCATTTTACAGGTATTTGTAGCTTTTATCTTGTTGCCTATTTCCTAAAAATCTGTGACGGAATCCAAAATATTTGTACTTGTGTGTCTACCATTTTATACTGCTGTGCATTTATCACTTACTGATTAGTGTATTCAATTCAGTCAAATCTGCCGTTAGTCATATCCAATTATTTATTTTCACATACTAAAGTTCTGATGTCATACATATAGCAATATTGGGATTCTGATACTATTATGTGAAATATTTGATTTTTGGAATTTGCATGAATGGTTGAAAATGTGCACTAAATGATCAAATTACAATGATCTCCATAGCATCTAAATGTTGGCGACCATTTTGGCTTCCGACAGTTGATTGATTGTTCAAATTAGAACAATGTTTCCTTGCACAATCATTCTCTGTAATCCTCCCAATACATCAATAAAGCTATATAAATGATTTCAGAGTGTAACATTATGTATGTCAGGATATATAATATTACTGAGGGTTTTCTCTATAGATTATATATTATTCTAATGATACATACTTGTAGTATGGTGGTGGGTTTGTAAACTGCAGTAATATCAAACTATAGATTTTTAATGAATATTAATTTTATGCTAATTAATATGCTACATTTTCTTGCAGTTAATATTTTATATTTATTTTCCAGATAATTGATTTGAAAATTGAGATTGAAAATTTGAAGCAGGACCTTGAAGAACGAAATAAACTTCTTACAAAAGCACAGTATGTATTTTAATTTTTTTGTAAAATAAAGGTTGAATCCGAAGAATCTTGTAATAATGACACGTATGGATATAATCCATGTAAAGTGATGATTTCAGTACATTACATGTATATGGTGAGCTTTGAACATTTGTGTTTATTTGATTTGCAGTACTGCCATCCAATGTCTTACCAATGAAAAGGAAACCATGACAACCCATTTCAGGGATGATCTTAGGGTAGAGAACCAGATGGAGATAAGCAAATTCAAAGCTCAAGCTGAGCTCGCTGAAGAGGTGAGGTTATTTTTTTTTTTTCAAATTATATCACCAAATATTGATCACATTCAACTCCATGGGGCAACGGTTACCCATTACAATTTTAAAATCCACAAAATAATATAATTTACAGTGGTCCTGACCACTATCTCATTATTTGTTTTCCTTGTAACATTCCTAGTTGTGATTGACTGATGACTCTATTGTCTTTTGTAACAACATCAGTTAAATATGAAAGAGAGTGTAAAAAAAAAGAGAAAACATCGTCGTGTGTTCGTTGAGCATCTGCACCAATTGTTGGATTTTTCTTTACATATTAAGATTCTGGTTATTTTCCTACTATAGATAATAACTAAATTTGCACACGTTTTAATTTTCTTGTATATTTCAAATAAATTGTATCTCTTGTGAAAATGGTTGCGTCCAGTAGCTGCAGCTTTTTACAAAGTATCAAAGTCATAAGAAACAATAACAGTATTGTTCATTTCAAGGGAAATCAATAGAGACATAGAGCAGGGCTTGAAATTCAGAGGCCGTGGAAGCAAATGCCTCGTTGCTCAATCTGAATGCATTGATGCCCTTCAGTAATTTCTGCACAATTTCAATCAGCCCAAGGTATTTTTAAAAATCTTGGCCTTCAAAATGGATGTCCTTAGAATACCAAAATTCTTGCCCTAAATTTCATGAGTTTCTTACTTCTGTCACCTGATCAACACTATAAGATACAAGTAACCTGTAGAATGCTGTGTGGGTAATATTTTTATATTGATTTTTGTTGCATTTGCAGCAAATAGTTACCAAACAATGAGAAATCTATAGGATTGAATATACCCCACAGCTGGCTTCACATGCATTGTTCATAGTTCATATGGTGCTTACACCAGGATTTAATTACAGCACCTAGGCGGTATGTGGTTACAGCTAGCCTTAATGTTCGAGTAATCGCAAGAAATTGACATGACAATAGAAATTCATTAAAGACTGCCACTCCCATGCAATTAACAGCGAGTGAAATTCCTGGGATTGAAACATATATTTTGAAGTCACTGGTGTAGGCAACGAATAACTGCAAGTTGACATAAAGACGAGGTAGTTTATTTAATCAGTGGTCAACTAGAGGCTGAAATTATAATTAATTTGTTTATTTCAATTTCTCCTGACGTCAAATAGAATACACTGGTGAAACACGGTAGTAACTGTGGGTGAAAGGATGTTTTGGGGTGTAGTTTACATTGTATATAGAGTGGTAGGGTCGGGTGTAATGTGTTCATTTCCAACTATTATGAAGTCACGTAAATTTCACTTATTTATTTTTTCTGACATGTTTTCAAGCATTACATGTGAATCCAATTTTCACTGCGCTGTGTCTCATAGAGTATGGGGGAAATGGCATATTCACTGGAATTTATTTCAGGGGAAAATGTTTCAGTGATATGAAGTATT